CCCCCCCCCCCCCCCTTCCACTCCACCTCTATCGCCCGGCCTCTCTGTGCATTCTATCGCGCGCGACATTGTCGTCGTCGTCGTCCATGTCGTAATCGCCGTTATCGCTGCTCTCGTCGCGTCCTTCTTCGACGTCGTCGTCGGGGAGCGCTTCTTTCGTGGCTGGCGCACTCCCGCTGCTTCCGCGCACGCCGTTCCTCCGCGATCCATTGTCGCGCCTGTGCGCAACGGCCTCGTCGCACAGTGGTCGGAAAAGTATTGAAAATGCACTAAACCTCAGTGTCAAGCGTATGAGGCACCAATCGAAAATCTAGACATGGTTTTAGATTCGGAAAACCATGACGAATCTAAAACCGTTTCCGTTTTTTATTTAGCTATAACCATACTCTATGAAAAATAATAGGACCGCAAAATGAATTTATTTAAAATTAGTTCATAAAAATTAGTCGCTGAAATCATTCCGATTACATTCAATAAAACATCTTTAGAATGGGTTTTGCGTGCCAATGTGATGAACACATGTCAAAATAAGTGTCTTAAAAAGTTCACGCATATGGATAAATAAATTTTAATTGTTTATAAATTATTATTAACATAAGTCAATGAAATCTGAATTGATCGATATTCCTCATTGGATCGATGATTATCGTCAAGTTTTCATCATCGAGAAAACGAATGAAATGTTTTGACAAAATCAAATTGTTTAAATAAATTGTTTATTAAAATTGCTTAAGTTTAAACAAATAGTTGTTTAAACAAATAGTGTAAATAAATTGCTTGAATGAACAACTTTGAAAAATAAAATTTCTGGTAACACGAACTAATTTTTTCGACAAAATAATTAATTAATGATTTGTTTAAACAATTTTATTAAACAATTTGTTTAAACAATTTAATTAAGCAACTCACTTCAACAAATTTTCAAAGCAAGAAACATTTTAAATACAATTTTTGGTAACAAAAATATAATTTTTAAATAAATTTTATTTGTTCAAACAAATTGATTGCATAAAAAATTTCAGTTAAAAGGTAATTGTTAAAATCTCAAATAAAATCCAAATCTATAAATGAACTGGCTCTCAAACGATACACAATGCTGCACTTATTAACTTATAAATAATTATCAACAATTTTTATTGTTCAACTACTAATGCTGTCATTTTATTTAAGTGCTAAGTTGCTTTACTCGATTTTTATAAATATACGTTTATAATTGATAAACTATCATAGTTTATCAATTATAAACGTATGGTGAGTATATTTAAAGTATGAATAAACAAATCAATAAATAAATTAATGTATAAACAAAGTAACCCAAGTAACATTATTTCGTTAAACATCATTTCGTTTCTTTTGTCATGAAGTATTAGTAGTCTTTATTAAACTTGTATTATTTTTGTGTTAGATTGTACGATTGCGAAATACACTCGTATGTACATTTTGGACAGTCTCTATATATTATATATACATAGCCGATATTGATACTAGATTTATATACATATACGTATATATATATAGAGAGAGAGAGATAGATCATGTATAACGAGGTTGCTTCTTATTGCTGACATAAACAGATAGAAGCCGCAGACACTATCTTTTTATGTACCCCACAGTGCATATGTCAACAAACCTATTGTATACGAATATCGAGCAAATTTCGATGTTCCTTCGCATGGTAAACAAAGTCAGGAGAAGAGAATTATACAGTTTCTTTATACATGTAGGTACCTGTCACCGAATGTATGCTCTTGTTTACAAATATGCACGAGTGACATATTAGTTTTTTTTCGATCGCAGAGTCTCTTTTACCCCTTTGAGACATTAATGACTGTGTACACAGTACTCAATCAGTGTCTTCCCAGCTTTGAGCTTGCACATATACTAATATTCGCTCCGTAAAAATTATAAAAGTGCAATAATGCATCTTTTTTCAATAAGTAATCGTGACCTAAGTTTCATATTACGGGATGATATGAGTAAAACATTTACGGAACAACTCCAAATTTTATCAGATTCGTTGATACAAATGTATGATGACATTAACTTTACCGATTCACACAAGGAGCAGTTAAGCAAAAAACTCGGATACAATTTTTTGAATAACTTCAGAAAAAGAGTGCGCGAACTTAATAAAAATGATAAGAATTACTTTCAATTCATCAAGAAATTCGGATCTTGGTGTAATAGTGCATTTGTGTTTAAATACGATGAAAGAGATGTAATTGATGTTGACGTTGGCATCGATGTCGGTAAGTGTTACTTATTTAAATGATGCTTGAGAGATTGTTTTCTTTTATGAAGAAGCTGAACTATTTATGCTTTTGTTGTAGTGGAATGTTCAAGCTCATATTCACCGATGTTGAATAGTGTATATTTATACGAACGTGTTATAGTTTGTGTGAATTTCTATATAAACGCGCACTATGTAAGAGCTTTTTTGGTTTATTTTCAGCTTGTATAAACGATCGTATGCATTTTAAAATCGTGTAAGCTCTTACGATTGCGCGTAAGATCTGCACGCACTAAGACTTATTGAGTTAAATTCAATTGAAAAATACGAGTTTATTGTTTTCTTTTCTAATTGTTTTTTTTTAGATCCTGCAGTAAATATTGGTGGGCGACCGGAAATACCTTACGCTTTGTGCAGTGATAGAACGAAGAAAAAAAAAATATCTGAACTTGCAAACGCATTAAGCATCGACGAATTGTGCGAAATTTTAAAAAAAAAACTTAAACAAGATAATAATTTATCAGGCATGCAGTTAGTCGACTGCATCTTTGATAGTGACTGCGCTAAAAAAATTATTAATTTTATCAATAAGCCAGAGCCACGATCATTGACATGTGATGAGGCTTTAGCATTGCTCATCGAAAACCGTTTAACTAAAGAAAAATATAATAATTTAAGAAAAAGTGCTATCGAAGTTGGGCATCACCTGTATCCCTCATACGAGAAGGTTCGTAATTATCACAAGTCTTTTGAATAAAGTACATCTTATCTTTCCTATTTTTAAATGTACGCAGGTCCTCGAAGCGAAAAAAGCGACATATCCGAGCAATATCTACGTCAGTGAAACAATATGCCGAGTGCCACTTGAAGACTTACTACACCATACAGTAAGGAGGCTGTTGATGGCTCTAAATTTAGATTTTTCAGGAGAAAATCGGCAACTTAAGTTTATTGGAAAGTACGGCTTCGATGGCACCAATACTAAAAGTTACAAACAAAAATCTGATAACCCAGAAGCTTTTTGTAATAGTGCTTTTTGCACATCGTTTGTTCCGTTACAATTGGTGGACCAAATCACGAATGAAGTATATTGGTTTAATCCAAGACCGTCCTCGACTCGATTTTGTAGACCTATAAAAATTTCATTCGAAAAAGAGACCGCACAAACTGCAAGAGATGAAGAAACTGATTTGAATAAACAAATAGAAGTGTTACGAAATTTTCAGTACGAAAATGCAAATATTTCTTTTGAATTGCATTTAACTATGATTGATGGCAAAGTAAGTTTTTTTTGTTATTAAAATTTGTGCAAACATAAAAAATTGTATACATGTATACCGATATTTACATTTTCCTATTGAACTTCGATTTTTTTGTTTATCAGGTCTGTAGTGCCCTAAATGAGACGTCCAGCCTAACGTGTTTTGTATGCGAATTAACAATTTCGCATTTTAACGACTTAGAAAAATTACGTGATATACCAATTAATGTTAATTCGTTGAAATATGGGTTTTCAATCTTGCACGCTCACATACGATTCATGGAATTAGTTTTACATGTTTCGTATCGTTTAGCCGTGCCAAAAAAAAAAAGACAATGGAAAGTAAGTTGACAGTGGTTTATCCAACTTTCATTCTGTCATTCATTTTCAATTTAAAATATCATTTACTCTTCTTAACGAAGATGAACGACAAAACACGACCTATCATAGATAAAAAAAAAAAGAAGATACAAGACGAATTGCGTAGTGCTTTGGGAATCACAGTAGATGCTCCAACACAAGGCTCTGGGAACACGAATGATGGGAATACTGCACGAACATTTTTCTCTAAAATTGATATCGTTGCGAAAGTTACAGGTTCGATCAAAATAATATTTACTGTCTGGAACTCCTGTCAAGTTTAGATTTTTCAGAATTCACGCTTATTTCGTATGTTTACAACATTTCTAGCTCGGTTGAGAGTGTCAAAAGGAAAAAATTGCTAGGGAGCTTTTGTCTGTAAATTGTTCAAACTTTTTGATTAAATATACATAAAAAAAAATTGATTCCTTTGAAAAACTAATACTATACAGAGAAACGTAAAAGTTAAAAGTTGATCGAGTTGTTATTTTTAAATATAATTTTTCATTATTTCTGTATGTTTTGATAATCTAAAATATTTCATGACCGTTAGACTTGTAAGCTCTTTACGAAAAGTTAGGAGGTATGTGTTGACATTCCAGAAAGCTCAGTGACTTTTTTGGCGGTGATAATGTTCTGGATATCAATCAATTATGTTTCGAATTTTATGCTTTTCTGTATAAAACATAGCTTCCTAAGTAATCAAATTATTTAAATGTTTTTAATTCAGAAATTTTGGAAAATTTCCATTAATAAAGCTCTTAAGCCCATATTTACTAATGTAAGCTTGAAAATTTTTAAATATTCGCAATGTGCACGAATTTTGGAAAATGCAAACTACAGACTTTTGAAAAGAGAAAGGACTTAATACAAATTTTTATATTTATTACATTTTTAGGATTTAATGCTGTACTTCTTAATAGATTCAAAGTGATCTTAGCAGTTATATCGTGTCAGAGAAAAATCAATACATCTGCATTCAAAGAATATTGTTGGAATACGGCAGTGATGTACACGAAATTGTATGAATTTTATTATATGCCAACATCGGTGCACGTGATATTGATTCATGGTTATCAAATAATGGACCACTTGCTTCTGCCTATTGGGTTATTGTCCGAAGAAGCACAAGAGACGAATAATAAAAATTTCAAATATTATCGACAATTCATGTCTCGAAAAGATACTCGGTAAGCACAATTTTACGCATTCATACAAATTAAAACTCTCTACCAATCCCAGAAGATTAAGCAATTTCACATATTCGTATGTATAATGACATTGAACTGTATAATTACCCAGAAAAGCTCAACTTGATCGAGTAAATATTAAAAAATTGGGGTCTCGCACAACTTTACACAATCCAAATAGACATGCGATTGATATTCACATTACTGTACACTAAATTAATTGTATTATTACAGAGAACATACTAATGAAGATACATTTAACCGTCTACTTGCAAGCTCGGATCCTTTCATCACTCTATCGCGAGCAATGCCGAAAAAAAAAATTGAAAATCTAACGGAAGAAATGAAGCAGCTTCTTATAATGGATATCGACGATAATACTGATCGCGATACCGATATGGAATTTATTGAATAAAACAATATCACTTGGTAAGTGATGATTATTTTTTTGTTTTCCTATCATCTATTTATTAATTTTATTTTACGTAGGTATTTTCTGTTTTATTCGTCGAACAATTAAAATTAAAGGGTAAGTTCTGTTATAGAATTGATTTTCAAGTCAGATAGACACCAAAAATTAGTTAATTTTCAAATTATATCTGTTTGTTGATACATGAAATGTATAAATTATGTTTAGTTTTTTAATGTTTTTGTTAACAAATATAATGACAGTATTAGTAGTTGGACAATAAAAATCACATGAACAATAAAAATTGTTGATAATTATTTATAAGTTAATAAGTGCAGCATTGTGTATCGTTTGAGAGCCAGTTCATTTATAGATTTGGATTTTATTTGAGATTTTAACAATTACCTTTTAACTGAAATTTTTTATGCAATCAATTTGTTTAAACAAATAAAATTTATTTAAAAATTATATTTTTGTTACCAAAAATTGTATTTAAAATGTTTCTTGCTTTGAAAATTTGTTGAAGTGAGTTGCTTAATTAAATTGTTTAAACAAATTGTTTAATAAAATTGTTTAAACAAATCATTAATTAATTATTTTGTCGAAAAAATTAGTTCGTGTTACCAGAAATTTTATTTTTCAAAGTTGTTCATTCAAGCAATTTATTTACACTATTTGTTTAAACAACTATTTGTTTAAACTTAAGCAATTTTAATAAACAATTTATTTAAACAATTTGATTTTGTCAAAACATTTCATTCGTTTTCTCGATGATGAAAACTTGACGATAATCATCGATCCAATGAGGAATATCGATCAATTCAGATTTCATTGACTTATGTTAATAATAATTTATAAACAATTAAAATTTATTTATCCATATGCGTGAACTTTTTAAGACACTTATTTTGACATGTGTTCATCACATTGGCACGCAAAACCCATTCTAAAGATGTTTTATTGAATGTAATCGGAATGATTTCAGCGACTAATTTTTATGAACTAATTTTAAATAAATTCATTTTGCGGTCCTATTATTTTTCATAGAGTATGGTTATAGCTAAATAAAAAACGGAAACGGTTTTAGATTCGTCATGGTTTTCCGAATCTAAAACCATGTCTAGATTTTCGATTGGTGCCTCATACGCTTGACACTGAGGTTTAGTGCATTTTCAATACTTTTCCGACCACTGTGCGTCGTTCGCCTCGCCGCCGGCTTGACTCGACGAGTCTGTTCGGAAATTTGCGAACCTGCCTGGAGCTGCTCTTTTTTCGCGCCCGAACCATTGCAAAATGTCGCGTTGGCCCATCGCCAACAACGACCGAGTTGCGTTCCGATTAGCGCCGATTAACCATCTGATCGCCCCGTTCTTCGACTCTGCCCTTTTCAGCTGCCAAATGTCAACCATTCACCATGCGCCCAGCGTGCGCCATCGATAAACGTGACCTTAACCCAAGTAACCCAAATAACCCAAGTAACCGGTAACCCAAGTAACCCAAGTAACCCCCAAGTAACCCAAGTAACCCAAGTAACCCCCAAGTAACCCAAGTAACCCAAGTAACCCCAAGTAACCCAAGTAACCCAAGTAACCAAGGTAACGTGCAGCAACTCGCAGTATCTCGAAGTTACGTTAAAACACGAGCACTTAAGTGTAGTATAAGGCGTAACTGAGCGTTACATAGCGTTACCGTGCGTTAACGTTGATTGACGTTCATCAAAGTGCAGTAATGAGCAGTAACGTTGGAACACTAGCAGTTACGTGTAGTATAGGGCGTTACTGAGCGTTACAGCGTTACTGTGCGTGAAGGTACGTTATCGTGCGTTACCGTAAGTTTACGTTGATTGACTTTCATCAAAGTGCAGTTATGTGCAGTAACAATAAAACACGAGCAGTGACGTGTAGTCTATGGCGTTTCTGCGAGTCAAAAATGAGTGACGTTCAACTTCGTACAGTAACTTGCAGGAACGTGCAGTAATGTTAAGTCATGAGCAGTTACGTGTAGTATAGGGCGTAACTGAGCGTTGCATAGCGTTACTGTGCGTTAAGGTACGTTATCGTGCGTTACTGTGCGTTAACGTCGATTGACGTTCATCAAAGTGCAGTAATGTGCAGTAACAATAAAACACGAGCAGTTACGTGTAGTATAGGGCGTAACTGAGCGTTACATAGCGTTACTGTGCGTTCAGGTACGTTATCGTGCGTTACCGCGCGCCAACGTTGGGTGACGTTTAGTCACATGCAGCAACTTACAGTATCTCGCAGTAACGTAGAAACACGAGCACTTACGTGTAGTATATGGCATTTCTGAACGTTAACATTGAGTGACGTTCAGTTACTAACAGCTACATGTAGAAACGTGCAGTAACGTTAAGTCACAAGCAGTAACGTATAGTAAAGGGCATTTCCGAGCGTAACATAGCGTGACTGTGCGTTGAAGTGCCTTACCGCACGTTACCGCGCGTCAACATTGAATGACGTTCAGTAACGTGCAGCAACTCGCAGTATCTCGCAGTTACATTAAAACACGATCCTTTACGTGTAGTATAGGGCGTTTCTGAGCGTTTACATTGAGTGACGTTCAGTTATGAGCGGCCACATGTAGAAACGTGCAGTAACGTTAAGTCACGAGCAGTTACGTTTAGTATAGGGCATAACCGAGCATAACATAGCGTTACTGTTCGTTGAGGTGCGTTACCGCACGTGACCGCGCGCCAACGTTGAGTGACGTTTAGTCACATGCAGCAACTAACAGTATCTCGCAGAAACGTTGAAACACGAGCACTTACGTGTAGTATATGGCGTTTCTGAGCGTTAACATTGAGTGACGTTCAGTTACTAACAGCTACATGTAGAAACGTGCAGTAACGTTAAGTCACAAGCAGTTACGTTTAGAATAGGGCATTACCGAGCATAACCTAGCTTTACTGTGCGGTGTAGTGCCTTACCGCACGTTACCGCGCGTCAACGTTGAACGACGTGTAGTAACGTGCAGCAACTCGCAGTATCTCGCCGTTACGTTGAAACACGAGCACTTACGTGTAGTATATGGCCTTTCTAAGCGTTAACATTGAGTGACGTTAAGTTACTAACAGCTACATGTAGAAACGTGCAGTTACGTTAAGTCACGAGCAGTCACGTATAGTAAAGGGCATTCTCGAGCGTAACCTAGCTTTACTGTGCGTTGAAGTGCGTTACCGCACATTACCGCGCGACAACGTTGAGTGACGTTGAGTCACGTGCAGCAACTTACAGTATCTCGCAGTAACGTTAAAAAACGAGAAGTTACGTGAAGTATAGGACGTAACAGAGCGTAACATTACATTACTGTACGTACAGATACGTTATCGTTTGTTACTGTGCGATAACGTTGATTGACGTTCATCAAAGTGCAGTAATGTGCAGTAACGTTAAAACACGAGCAGTTACGAGTAGTATATGGCGTTTCTGAGCGTTAACATCAAGTGACGTTCAGTAACTAACAGCTACATGAAGAAACGTGCAGTAACGTTAAGCCACGAAGAGTCACGTGAAGTACAGGACGTTACTGAGCGTTACTGAGCGTCAACGTTGAGTGACGTTCAGTCACGTGCAGTAAATTGCAGTATTGTGCAGTAACTTTTAAACACGAGCAGTTGCGTGGGGTATAAGGCGTTACTGGGCGTTACATAGCGTAACAATGCGTTACCGTGCGTCAACGTTGAGTGACGTTTATTTACGTGCAGACACTTGCAGTCACGTGCAGTTACGTTATGTCACGAGCAGTTACGTGTAGTCTAGGGCGTTACTTAGCGTCAACGTTGAGTGACGTTCAGTCACGTGCAGCAACTTGCAGTATTGTGCAGTAACTTTTAAACACGAGCAGTTACGTGGGGTATAAGGCGTTACTGAGCGTTACATAGCGTTACCATGCGTTACTGTGCGTCAACGTTGAGTGACATCCAAACACGTGCAGCTACTTGCACTTACGTGTAGTATAGGGCGTTACAAAGCGTTACATAGCGTTACCATGCGTTACCGTGCGTCAACGTTGAGTGACGTTTAGTTAAGTGCAGCGACTAGCAATAACGTGCAGTAACGTTAAGGCATGAACAGTCACGTGTAGTACAAGACGTTACTGAGCGTTACTGAGCGTCAACGTTGAGTGACGTTCAGTCACGTGCAGTAAATTGCAGTATTGTGCAGTAACTTTTAAACACGAGCAGTTACGTGGGGTATAAGGCGTTACTGGGCGTTACATAGCGTAACAATGCGTTACCGTGCGTCAACGTTGAGTGACGTTTATTTACGTGCAGACACTTGCAGTCACGTGCAGTTACGTTATGTCACGAGCAGTTACGTGTAGTATAGCGCGTTACTTAGCGTTAACGTTGAGTGACGTTTAGTCACGGGCAGAAACTTGCAGTATCGTGCAGTAACTTTTAAACACGAGCAGTTACGTGTAGTATAGGGCGTTACTGAGCGTTACATAGCGTTACCATGCGTTACTGTGCGTCAACGTTGAGTGACATTCAAACACGTGCAGCTACTTGCAGTTACGTGTAGTATAGGGCGTTACAAAGCGTTACATAGCGTTACCATGCGTTACCGTGCGTCAACGTTGAGTGACGTTTAGTTACGTGCAGCGACTAGCAATAACGTGCAGTAACGTTAAGGCATGAACAGTCACGTGTAGTACAAGACGTTACTGAGCGTTACTTAGCATTAAGATGCGTTACCGCGCGTCAACTTTGAGTGACGTTTATTCACGTGCAGACACTTGCAGTCACGTACAGTTACGTTATGTAACTAGCAGTTACGTGTAGTACAGTACGTTACTGAGCGTTCCTGTGCGTAACCGTGCGTTTTTGTGCGTCAACGTTGAGTGACGTTTAGTCACGTGCGGCAACTTTCCATATCGTGCGTTTACGTTAAATCACGAGCAGTCACGT